TAAAAAGCAAGATCTTAAATTAAATACAGAACCTCACAATGGCACAATCGAACCTCCCCCCTTGAACCAGAAAAGAAAAGCTTAGCTGCTCATGATCTTCAAACTCTCCATGCTCTGCTTCTCAATGGCCGAACTGCTCTCTTGGTAGCTTGAGTTGCTTGATAATCTCTTGGATCATTGGATTGAGTGATGACTAGAGCTGGTCCGCCCCCCTCTTTATATAGTTGAGGGAGAGGGCTCTCTCCAACTCCTTCTAGGAGATTAACTTCAAGTCCTGATCTATTTTGAACTAATCATATCCTATCTCTTATCTAGTGATTTAATACAATCTGCTTATCTTTATAGGATTACATTCAAAGTTTAAATCTAATAAGATTATCTTTCTGGAGGTTACATTCGAAATTGGGACTCTAGGCTCTTGAATTCGAGTTGGGCTGCCTTAATATCTTAGGCTGATACAAGGCTCTTCTGCGACTTGGGCTTCAGCTGTGAAATTGGCTTTGCTACGAACTTGCTCCAACTTAGGGCCCGATTTCGTCTTCGATTCGGACTGAATCTGTCAAAATCCAAAACATAAAAGTTTTGGGCCTTTCTTTCATCTTTCTGATGCCTCTTGAATTATCCAAATCGGAATCCAGAATTGAGAGTTATGCCTAGATTACTAAATGGTGCCGAAACTGTGCAAAATCATCCGATTTGTCTTGTTTTCTTCCAATTGCATTCTTACTTGTCCTGAATCGAAATACAAGAGTAATGAGACCAATTAAGTGATAAATTAATGAAAAAGAGTGAATATTTGGAGATAAAAATAGGATACTTTTTAGTCTCGTCAAATCCCCCCACACTTAAACTTTGCCCGTCCTCGGGTAAGACAAAATTCAAGCAAATATAGAACAAGAACAAACTATCCTACCATTTTTTAAACTCAACTCTCTTCCATCTTTTTCTACAAATATTCTAAATTAAATATTGTGAACTGTTAAATCAACACAACCAAGCCATACACGACTCATTTATCAGTCAATCCAATTTTTGCTACTGCAAACCAGGTAGTAAATCAGGGAAAACCTTTTTATCTTTTCTCTCTTTTTTATTTTCTTTTTCTCTCATCTAAAGAAGTGAGTGCATTTTATGCTTTATCTCACTTTTGGATTACTTGGTCAGTAGGTGCATTTTATGCTTCATCCTACTGTTTGATTTACTAGCTAGTAGGTGCATTTTATGCTCCGTCCTACTATCAGATGACTTGGCTGGTAGGTGCATTTTATGCTCCATCCTACCATCGGATTAATTGACCGGTAGGTGCATTTTATACTCCATCCTACCAATTGTGGCAATGGTGAAATATTTGCCCTATTTACTTAAACCTGAATTTAAGACTAGCTTAACTGGAAATGGCTTCAGATAAGTCATGTACTCATTGATCATATTTCTTTACTAGGTTCACAAGAATTTCCCTACAACATTGCTTCAATTGATTTCAAAAGAGTTTAAGTTTCTTTTTTTTTAAAAAAAATCAAATGCAGAAAAATACGACATAAATCAAATTTTAAAGCGCAACCTAAATT